CCCTAGACACATCTAATGACTGGCCGAGAGCGTTGTGAAACAGAGTATGTTATCTTAATTTGATTCATTAGACGCAGCGCGCAAATATCTACTTTACATAATTTTATCGAAGAAAATTGTGCGCGTAGGCAGCAATGCCATCCGTTTAATGCAACCCTTCCACGAAATATGCTGAACAGCATTTAACTCATCGCCTACGCTAGAATTAGTAGACCTAGAACGCTCCCAGATGGTGCAGCAAAAACTTTTAAAAAGTGCCGTTGTTAAAGAGATTTACGAGTGTCAACAGGCACTTCCTTCGCGCCACATCCTTTGAAAAAAAGGCAACCGATATTAAAACAACAGTTGTAAATCACGTGCAAAAGTTTTACGAATTAGTAACAATTAAAACGTTATGGAGCCAAACAACAGTTGTTTCGAATGTCCTCCACAATTGCGGGACCATTGAGATTTAAGGGCGGTTTACAAACCATAGATCTTAGTCTCAAATTCTTTACGACTAGTATAACTTGCGCAATCCTTTTGTCGTTCGATGGGGAGTGAGTGCGGGGGGAAGCAAGTTTCTTTTGTTTGCAACACGTGTTGCCGAACGGGTTGGTGACACTTGTACGAGTGGAATCTTCGAGCAGAGTTTCAGAGAAGCGCTCTTTGTCTTATTTCTTTTGAAGTCAAATTTCACGGTTCGGATTACTGTGTGGTTGTATTTGTCGTTTTTTGGTGATAAAAAAATCGGTGGTTTCTCCGGGCGCGGTGCGAGCGTTACTCGCGGTGGTGGAAGGCTCCGTTATTCCAAATATTTGGTTTCTTTGTAATTACAATATTTGAGCTGTGAGAAAATACTCGGATAGAAATGGTACAAATCGGGAGACCAATCTTTAATTTAACTGCTACGACATTACAAGTAAATTCCAAGTAGATTTTCATTAAACCAATAAAAAATCTTTATCTACTGCTACCAGGAAAAGAGGCCTGATAGAGGTTTCATCAGGTTTCTTATTTCACGACGAATAACACCAAAAGTATCTTTTTTTTTGCATCTAACTCATCTGCAACGGAAGCTCGAACTCGTCACGCCCTTGGGGTAGAGAAGTGCGTATACGCAGCAGATGACATTTCCCAGATCTGTGCGGAAACGTTTGTGTCATTATATACCTATTAGGGCTCGGGGTCACACTACACGCATTTTTGTGCTACGCCGCAAGCCCCGCCTCTGTTCTTAATGAAGCCATTTGTGTCATGTTTATTGCTTTTATGGCGCACTCAAGATTTTGAGGTGAATTTATAAGGCGCAAATTGACACCAAAGTTGTATGTGTAATTAATGATGTTATGTATGTGTGACGACACATGTGGTGTTGGGACATTCGTAATGTCTGTAGTATTGAGTAACGGATAATATTGATGTTTTGGAAAAAAGTAATCATGATGAAAATATGAAAGTTTGAATCACTAAAGGTTACTTTATGCCCCTTGTTTGCACATAAATTTCTGGTAAAACTCCATGCAAGGGCATGTTTAATTATTAACTGTTAAAACACTGCACAGTAATTTGTCTCTCGAACCTACGCTGCTTTCCTGGCTGGAATAAATCTCCATTTTTTGAGATTTATTACAATGCCACTTTTTGTATAATTTATACCAAATATATCTCATATTAGACAACATATTATCTAAGCACAGTTAATTATACATTATTATCAAGTGATCTAGAATAGGATCATGTTTTTGAAGTCATTGAAGCCCTTATTACGAAATTTTATAATATCAATCAGTGATAGTAAATACTGATAATTATATCACTCGGATATTCATGATATCATTTGGCATTATTAGTTATATGAAAGGATATGATATTTTTAAAAACAAAACTTGACATTGTCATTTTTCCGCTTAATAACAACTGAAAAAAAAATTGAAGTTTTTCTCTAACTTCAACATAAATCAATAAAAAGCGGAAAATTGCTATACTGAGCCAATGCTCAATGCTTACCATAAACGATAGGAGCATTTAGCCTACGATTATGTGTTTTAATATATTTTTATAGTATTATCAAAATTTCGCATATACTTACATAAAATTGTTTTTAACAATAAAAGCTCTTAAAATGTCTCACAATCAACTTTTTCTTTATCAATATTTGGGGTTAATTTTGTGCAAAAGTACTTCCTCTTATTATTTAATAAGATTAAGTGCTTTCGCTCACTTCACAAGTAATCAACATAAATACTGGTAAGGCCTAATCTAAACAACGCGGTAGAAAGAAAGGTCCCCAGTATTTATTCCGAGGCTTTCTCGGCTTTTGCAATTAGTATCACTCAATTAACCACTAGTAGGGGCCGTAGAATTTTTGTTAATAATTAAAAAGGTTGCACTTAAGCCAGCAGGCAATTTAAATTACGGGTTAGTGGTCAGGGATGGAGTTTTATGTGACTGAATGTGTGACTTGAAAGTCACAGGTGTAGCTACGATATTTGCGTTGATCGAGAAAAATACAAGATTCATAAAGGAAAAGAACAGTTATTTACACAGTCATTTTTATCTAAGGACTTAAAACCAATCTCAGTGCTCGAACTAATGAAGGCATTAAATGGGATGGTAACCCTCCGTGTGAAGAGGCCGCGCGGTCTCGAGTTTGATTCTTGTTTTATTTTTACGTCGGTTTTGCTTTGTGGGGGCAATGTGTTGATCAAGTGCGCTTGAGTGGGTGATTCAATTTTAAACATGTGGATATAAGAGCAATAACCATTTCGTATACAAATGCGTTTATTGTAACTCTTACTTAATGAAATTTATTTTTTTATCTTTAATATTTACTAAATAAATGGATTTCACCCATCTGAAGTTTAGATATTTATCATAAAGAAAAGCTACAAATAAATATTCAAATGACATGTGAACGAAAACGTAAACGAGTAAATAAGTCTTTCGATAATTTGTACATTTTGGATTCTTATTAAAATTTTTAACGGCCGCTAAACGTTATATTACACATTTACTCAAGAGAATTTTTAATTCGCGTGTACAGCGTAGGTACCTACTTATTGGAGGCGTATTTTTCGGTTACAAAAAAAAAGAATCGAGCCTTCGAAATGCTATACATTAAAGAGCACGCAACCACGCGGCATGCAATGAAGTGTAGGTACATTCAGCCCCGCGGGTCAATACCATGCAGGGCTGCTAACACCATATATTATTAACTGTGAATTTCAAATCATGTGCATGAGCAAACAAAATCTCGGAGATTCCTACTATCATGGCCACAATGAAGTCTGTAGGCGGTAGACGCCTCATGGAATATTAACTTTGAATAAATTTACTTTTTAAGCTTTTTTCACATCAGTGTGTTTGATTCCGCAAAAAGTTTTGGACTCAATACGAAATACCAATGGTTAGACCAATAGATTCAGATACCTATTTGGAAATAAGTCAACTTTTAGTGACTAAATAACAGAATAGGTAAGTACATAATTATTTGGCTAACTGTGCCGACCTGAAAAAGAAAGTACTTGTGTGATATAAATAACACAGATCAGGTGAAATTTAATTCAATGAAACATATTTCGCTTAGTTTTAAAAATCTCCATTTTAAGTTGTGTGTATTACTGTGAGTAATTTTTTACGTAGGTATCATTTATAAACTGGCCAGAAAGTATATTTTAGGATTGATGAATAATTTGTAGATGATAAAAAAATTAACGACAGTAATATCGGTTACAGTTTGTTTATGGGACATAAAAATTACACAGGCTATATAGAAAGTCTTTACTTGTTTCCAAATACTCAGAATATTTGTAGTCTTCCAAGGAATTTCGCTGCGTTTCGTTATTTCTTTTCTGCCAGTGTCGTTTATAAATTTTGATTCGGTAAAAATTCTGCCATCGCACACCACGCAGCATTTAAAATGTCAACTGAATTTGATGACTACACACGTTTCTGCAATTCTTAACGTGCTCAAAAATGCTGTATAAGTGCCTTTAGTAAATGTCTGTTTACTTTAATTAGGAGTTTTTAACATAAAACACTTCTCTTTTCTTACGAAAGCAAATTAATTCTTCATCTTTGTACAGTTGAATATTGATGATTGTTAACTTATTCTGTAACACCAATTCGATCTTACTTAGATCCAAAAAATTAGTCAGAGAGGATCACTAATTCTTTAACACAAATATATTTAAATGAAATCATGCTGAAAGTCCTTAAAATGAGCATTATAATTCAAGTTATGTTAACAGGTTCAGCCCTAGTCGTTGCATGGACCAAATTTTCGCGAGTAGCGGCTTCAGTTATCAGGTCGATCGACTTCTCGGTAACCAATTCAAAAGCATTCAAAAGGGAGTGGACCAGATTCATTATTACTTATATGGAATTTTACACACGGTACCTCAACACGTATGAAATCATTGTCTGCATTATATGAACCTTAATACGAATATTTAATTAAAATCGATAGTATGCCGTAACTCTTTTGGTTTGTTTGTGTCACGCTAAGAATTATGATGCTTGTGTGGAAACCTTCATATTAGTTTTCATTTGCAGTTTATGGAGCACAATTTGATGTCTGCCTCAGCTCATCTTCTGTCGCATTTTATCTCAATAGCATGCAACAAATTCGTTAGGTATGCTTGGTTACGTTTCTTAATCAAGCGGTATTGAACGGTCGGTAGCAAAGGTTGCCTCCACCCATATATCAACATCGACGTTTGAACGAAATGAAGCTGTCGTCATCGCCAATTGTAACGTCACTTGAACTGAGCTGCGGGACAGGTCGTCCCATTCAAACGCTCAGATTCTACGTATACTTTTATAAGCACTTTCAACCGTGTCGATGACCTTTTAAAGTTCCTTTTGACGTACTTGTAAGAAATGCTAACCGCGGACTCTTATTTTCTTTAATTTTCATTAAGAGTTACTCAATGGGACTATAGAAATACTTTTGTATAAATAAGTTATTTCAAGAAATAAAGTTTCGCATACTTATTTCACTCTCTCTTTTGTTTCAGGAGCGAACGGTTTGAGAAGACGAGGCAGACAAACTTATACTAGATATCAAACATTAGAGTTAGAGAAAGAATTCCACACGAATCACTACCTCACGCGAAGGAGACGCATTGAGATGGCGCACGCGTTGTGTTTGACGGAACGGCAAATAAAAATATGGTTCCAGAATAGGCGGATGAAGCTAAAGAAGGAAATACAAGCCATAAAGGAGCTGAATGAACAGGAGAAGCAAGCGCAGGCACAGAAAGCCGCGGCGGCGGCGGCAGCGGCTGCGGCAGCTGCACAAGGCCATCCGGAACACTAGGCCCGCGAGCCTCGCTAAACGATACGATCGCCGAACAATCTCTAGCTTGTGTTTTGTAAATTGTTTGTAATTATTTTCGTTATCTAAGTGTTGTTCGGTTGTTGTGATTATTTTTAAATTAATTTAACCTAGACACAATGTTTTACAATTGATTGAAACGGAACAATAAACTGTTAAATGGTAGACTAAAAAACGGGTCGTATTATTTTTGTGTTTCGGGTTTTGTTTTTGTTGTTTTATATATTGATTTTTTTATATGAATATTTTAATTTCGCTATCGTCTTAGGCGTTCGGAAACCAGTGCAATTTGTAGGAATCTCTTCCGTGTAACATAGTGTAGGTGTATCGTAGTGCGTTTTACTTTACGTGCCCGTAGCACCCCCGGCTCGGCAGCGTCGGCGAGACGAACTATATTGTACAAATTTAATATGCCTACCAAAGAGACTCGGTCTCGTACCCATAAAGCTAAGTAATGAGTCGTAAGTTAAATTAATTATCTACTATTTCTAATATCGGGGACTCATGTGTGAAACAGAAAATAATCTTCCGCGCCAATCCTTCAATACTCTCGCATAAGTATAGTGTAAACGTGATCGTGTTCCTGCAGTTTTAATAGTCGGTGAAGTTAAACAAATTGCCATAAATATAAGTAGTAATTATTTAGGTGGTAGCTGTGTAAATAGTAAGGGTTTAACTGATGGATGAGTGCGGTTCGTTTGCGCTGGCGCCGAGGAATGGGCAGAAAAAGCAGCGGGGGTGCGAGCGAGAGGGCGAGAGGGCGCGCGCCGCGGCGGCCGGACGCCAAGAGGTGAGTTTTTGTCAAAACCACCGGCAGCATTATTTATCGGGCGGAGACGGTCGCGAAAAACTTACTGGTCGTCACCGCCGACGCCATTTTTGAAATCGTCCGAGCGAGACTTGTACGTGTAGCTATTATGCAATGTTTTAATTCACCAACTTTGCGGCGCTTTTTGTTATTCCGACCGTCTCCTATCGACGATATACCACACCTGTGTTTTATTTGTTAGCATTGATTATGGACAGTTTATTTAGAACCATCTAATTTTTTCCAGTGAGTTGACTGGAAAAAATTAGATTACAAATTACTAAATTATTACAATTAAACTAAAAGATAACAAAAGTCTTCAGATTTCGTAAGCATGTATTAATGACTTCATTGACTCCTGAGCCGTTGCTCGGTACTACTTGTGAAATAACTTACTATAGTCCATTTACATCTCCGCCGTCGCCTCACGAGGCAACTAACGACTCAAATGGTCGCTTAAAATTGAATACCGCGCACAATGTAAAGTCAACACAAAACATGCCTCTGGACCTGATGCTTTTGTGCTTATCCGGGTTATTAGATTTTTTGTTTTATTTATTCACAAAACCGGTTGCAGTCATTACACAAGCTAAAACAAGCTGACATGGAAAAGATTAACATTGTTGTCTCGAATTGTTTGGGATTGTGTCCTACTAGATGCGAGCACGTCTTTAGAATGACAAAACCTTGGTTATATAAAATAAATAAACTTAAAGATATGTTTAACTGTTTATGAAGTTTTGTCGTAAATGAGGCTTTAAAACAGTAGTTAATGACCCAAACAGAATTTCCAAAAAATCATAATTAGTGCGTCCAACCGGATTACAGAAGCTGCAAAATCGAAACCAGTTTAATGCCTTGACCGACTGAAGTTTTTTGTAGATTTATTTTCTTTAAGTTTATAAGTCTAGCAATTTAATGCAATAAATAACAATATGATAAACAATCCCTGTGGAACTCCTGATACACTTGATATACTTTTGAGTTTTGTTCTAACATATTATACTCATTGTGATAGTTTAGAGATATATGATTCACAGCATCTCAATAAGGATTCGTGAATTCTTGGAATAGCTAGCTAATACAGAGGAAGTTGATAGGCAACAACATCAAACGCCTTGCTGAAGTCGGTGTATACAGCGTGTACTTCACTGCCTTTATCCAACGTCTACCTACATAGTATCACAAATACAGCTGATCATGTTACCCTTTTGGTGTTTTACGAGGAATGACAAGGAAAAGCCATATAGACAAGGAATGTTTTGATTTTCAAAATATGTCATTATTCTTTTGTTCATAGTTAATCCCAGATTTTAATCACATATTGACAAAATGAAGATGCGACATGCGAATGTTTCTTATAAAATATGATGACAAATGCGATAAGCGTACTAGTACCTACTTGTTCTGTTCCTTTAAGAGTCATCTAGTGATGGCTCCAATAAAGTAATTGCAAGCTTGTGACCCTATAAGTTTACTTCAAATAATACAAACGATAAAAGAATAACACATTTTTCGTTTGTCTTCAAGATAGAATTTTGTCATAACAATATGATTATGCATTATATCTAACTTTACATAACGATGCAAATAATTTTTCGTCATATGCACTTCATCAAACGAAAATTGATCTGTAATTCTGACTACGAAGTTAATATTAAAAAATCAATTCTGTTTTATAGTTAGTGCAAACTCATAAATATTCAAACGAATTATCGATAATAATTAAATACTCAAACACACTTATAATTACGAATATCATTGAAGCTGAAGAATTACATTCTTTTCTTTTGCCTTTTCTACAAAACTAGAGTTGATAATTATTGTAGATATAAACTTAAGATTACCCGCGTGCTAATAAATATTAATATAATTATGACGAATCAAAAATACTTATTAAAATTTTCATTATTGTTAAATTTTCACCTAATGTACACAGAGATTTCATGATTACTTCATATTGCAATAATTAAATAGGTACCTATCTAATTTTGAGTTATAAAGACCTATCTACCTAGTTAACTCTTTTGGATTGAGTACTCTATCAAAGTCTTTTTCACAATTTTATATTACTTTGATATATTTCACTTTCCTGTTGACTGTACGCGGCGGCCATGTTTTAGCCAAACCCGACCTGCCAATGCGAGGATAAGAAATAATTATTTAGCAGATACGAAAAATTATTGGTTCGCCCGATATGAGAGTATCGGCTACGAAATTTCGGACGACTTCATCCGAAACCTTATTTTAATATATTGAGCCGTTGATATACGTTTTATTTTCTACAAGACCATTAATAAATTATCGATTACCATTTTTTTCTCATATAAACTCGTGTGGCTAAAATATTTTGGTTTGAAAAGATGCAAATATTAAGTGTTCGACATTACAACTTAATTGTATGTTTTAACAAAATTTTCGTTACCTAACTGCCAGTAGATAAATAGACTGTATTTTTAATAAAAAAAAGTCTATTCTCCTACATGAATTTGTAATATTTTTTATTGAAATATATAACTTAGCAGGAGTGAATACAGGACGATGGTGTTATCGTTACGATGCCTCTTCATATAATGATTATGAGTAATTAATTATCTATTTATGACACAATTCAGGATATAAAATGTCCGTGTGCTAAATTTCGACCACCCATTCAACCGTTTTAGCGTGATTGAGTAACAAACTTATACATTCAATAGTAATATATGAATATATATCAGTCAAATTAGTTTTGGTTTATGGATATTTTAATTAGTAGGAGTATATTAAGAGCTTGATAGAAACAATACAAATGGGAACTATTCAAACCATTACGACAGCGAATAATTTTGTTCTACAAAAAATAAATAAATTGCATTACTAATAATACTTAAAACAGGCTTGCTCTATGAGTACCTAACAATGTAGATTACAGCCCATGAAAAACTACAGCATTTCAAGAGTTCTGTTCTTAAAAATAAAATAATTAAATGTAAACTTCCATTTTTATAGATTCTTTTTTAATAAAATTTACGGTAATTTTAAAATGTTACTTTTTTGATACCTACATCTGAAGATTTAGCTGTAAACAAAAAACTGCATCCAAATAAAAAGAGTTTAACGAATGACTCATTATTCCTTTAAAATAGTAAACATGGAGCAATTCTAGCCAATGAGTGCTTTCAATTGCGAATAACAGACACTCCCATCGAATGTTTCTCACTTAATTAAAACATCGCTGAGGCAGATGTTTACACAAAAACTCAATGAATTCGCCGATAATTCCCTAAAGGAGTGAGCACGGTAAAGACCGAGGCCTCAGTTGTATTGAATAGCAGCAATCATTAAATTTTTTGCTTCCACTAAACTGTCACGATAACAAGTCCCCTTTCAGCAGTAATCACCATCTTTAATCAAATTAATCAGACTGTTTCTCAATAGTAATATTTTTTACAAAACAGAACCAGCAATTAAGGGTTTTATTCTCCGGACAAGTTTCTCAGGTTGCTGGAAATATTTATACAATAGTTCGGTATCTACAGTGGCATATTTTCATATAATCGTGCTTATTACAATATCACGGGAACCGGCCATGTCGTCGTACATCGGGCCCTCGAGTTAATTAGATGAAGGATTGAATAATGCATGATCTATTAATCAATGCGTTGACATTTTTATTTTTATTTAAATTAATTGTTATTCAGCGGCGGTTTCTTATTAAAATAATGCAATTTTATAAGGCTTCTGGAACCCGTTCCGTAATAAAAGGAGTATGGTGAGTGGCTCGGGCGACGGCCGGCTATATATCATTATGTACTGCGCGGGCGCAGTCCGGTCCCGCGCACCTCGCCGCCACTGATGAGAGATCTCCTCTCCAAACGTACGAGTATGTACGGTACATTGCACCGCTACGTTGTTTAATTTTGTTTTTAATGTTTACTAAGGCGAAATATAGTAATATTTCAAAGAATAATGTAGCTACAATTGTATACCTGGACTGAAGCTAAACCTTATATAAACTGAAGCTATAGGAAATTATTTTTTCGATAAGTACTAATATCTTAGATTGTGTTCAAGGAACATGTACCAGATATACCCAAAAATTACGCGGCAAAAGAAGCAGTCTCTTGCCATCGCAAAAAATAACGCACTTAATTATAGAGAATATGGTAGTTTATAATTGTAATTAGTCGTTTCATCGATTATATTTAATCAATATGTATATACGTTGCTACTGGTAATTGTGTATCCAATTATGATATCAGAAAATTACTGATATTTTAATGCAGGTACTTACTTCAATATACAGCCTTTAAGTGCTTGAGTCGGTAATTTATTCATTGGCTGTTTACAAAACTGCGGTTAACCTCAGTTTGTAGCTTGCAGATTTTTACTTATTTTGAGTAATTAATAAGGAAATATATAATTTACTTCACAAGAGAAAGCCACATCTCATTTTTTATGACATTAAAAACTACGTTGGTTACTTTAGTACTTAATATTAATTACAACAATACTGTAACAGTTCCCATATTGAAGGCAAATGCCCCAGAGGTAAATACAATTAAAAGAGATTTCATTAATGCATACATAATAGGATCGTACTATGCCAAATCTATGATAGGGGAGGAGCAATAAAAATTCAATCAAAGCTAAATCTGTGGTTGAACCCAAAGGACAAACGAGCAGGTAGATACCTGACGCCTGTTCATTAGGCTATAATCTGCTCTCTTCTGGAGTATAAACCCTCCCTTTAGACTGTATAGGGAGAACGGGCTTCACTCGCTAAATAGGCCCAGGGCGAATTGGTGGGTGCTAGTAAATGCAAATGAAGTCGGGATCTTTTTTTTTTTAGTCTATATGCTGCTGGTCGCTGATGACCTTTACAGCGTCACCGGGGACGGCGGGATCCTAAGGGGACCTCAAGCCGAGAATTAGCGAGTGCCTCTAGAGATATTTCAGGCGGATGGCTTCTCCCCACGGGGGAGTCTCCTCTCCGTCTG